CTAAACGGAGAGAGAAGAGGGACAAAAGACCATTATTTTGGTTAATTTCTTGGTTACTGGTAATAGTTTTGCCCTTTATATGAAAGACTCTAGAGCTGGAAAAATTTGTAATGATTCCCCATTTCAACACCTTTCATGTTATCAGTGGGGCCCAAAGAGGAAAAAGTACTTGTCCAAGGTCATACAGTAAGTTAGTGATAAGATTGAACAGGGATTCAATTCTTGTTTCAGGCCCGTACTCTCTCTGTTATCTGGGACTTGAACATTTTTGATCAGCAAACTTTTATCTATACCCTCAACACCTAGTACAGTGCATAATAGATGCTCAGTAAATGTTACATTAATATGCAGTGTAATTGATTGTACTGGACTTTCCTCCCTCATTCACAGGGTAATCTACTTTCAGAAGTAGAGTCTAGAACTCCCCTGGGAACCCTATTCCATTGACCATGCAACATTTCCCTGGCAAACGAGTACAGGAGCTGTTACTTTCCTGTGCAAGGACAGATTCCTCAAAGAAGTCAAATATTGCTCTTAACTTGACTTTATTTCACTAATCTATATGACAAACTACAAGCATACCTTGTTTTATTGTACATTGCTTCATTGCACTTCACAGATACTGCATTTTTCACAAAGTGAAAGTTTGTGGCAACCCTGTGCTGTCAGATGATGTTTAGCAATTTCTAGCAATAAAGTATTTATCTGTTTATTTATTGAGGTATAGTTGATTTACAGTGTTATATAAGTTTTAGGTGTAAAATACAGTGATTCAAAATTTTTATAGCTTATACTCCAAGTTATTATAAAATATTGGCTATATTCCTTGTGCTGTACAGTTTATCCTTGTAGCTTATTTCCTTTATATGTAGTAGCTTGTCCCTCTTACTCCACCTACCCATATCTTGTCCCTCCCCCTTTCTCTTCCCCACTAGTAAATACTAGTTTGTTCACTATATCTGAGTCTGTTTCTGTTTTGTTATATTCATTCATTTTATTTTTTTTAGATTCCACATATAAGTGATATCATACAGTATTTGTCTTTCTCTGTCTGACTTATTTCAATAAGCATAATATCCTCCAGGTTCATCCATGTTGCAAATAGCAATATTTCATTTAATTTTGTGGCTGAGTAGTATTCCATTGTGTGTCTATGAACTGTTTATATATTTTGGATATCATCCCCTTATCAGTCATATGATTTGTAAATATTTTCTCTCATTCAGTAGGTCACATTTCCATTTTGTCAATGGTTTCCTTTGTTGTACAAAAGATTCTAAGTTTAATTAGGTTCCATGTGTTTATTTTTGCTTTTGTTTCTTTTGTCCTAGGAGACAGATCCAAAAAATATATTGGTAAAATTTACGTCAAAGAATGTTATGTTTGTGTTTTCTTCTAGGAGTTTTATGGTTTCTGGTTTTACATTTAGGTCTTTAATTGATTTTTGGTTTATTTTTCTATATAGTATGAGAAAATTTTCTAATTTCATTTTTTACATGTAACTCTCCAGTTTTCTTAGCACTACTTATTGAAGAGACTGTCTTTTCTCCATTGTATATTCTTGCCTCCTTTGTTGAAGATTAATTGATTATAAGTAAATGGGTTTATTACTAGATTCCCTATTTTGTTCCAGTGATCAATGTGTCTATTTTGTGCCAGTAGCAGACTGTTTTGATTACTGTAACTTTGTAGTATAGTCTAGAGTCAAGGAGCATGATACATCCAGTTCTATTCTTCTTTCTTAATTTTGCTTTGGCTGTCTGGGGTCTTTTTTGTTTTCATATGAATTTTAGAATTACTTGTTCTTGTTATGTGAAAAATGCCATTGGTATTTTGATAGGGATTGCATTGAATATGTAGATTGTTTGGGGTAATATGGTGTTTTAATAATATTAACTCTTCCAATCCATGAATGTGGTATATCTTTCCATGTGTGTGTGTCATCTTCAGTTCCTTCATCATTTTCTTACAGTTTTCTGAATACAGGTCTTTTACCTCATTAGGTAGGTTTATTCTTAGGTATTTTATTCTTTTTGATGTGATGGTAAACGAGATTGTTTTATAAAATTCTTTTTCTAATAGTTCATTTTTAACTGTATAGAAATGCAACAGACTTCTATATATGTTAATTTTGTATCCTGTAACTTTACAGAATTCATTGATGAGCACTAGTAGTATTTTGTTTGCATCTTTAGGATTTTCTGTGTATAATATCATGTCATCTGCAAACAGTGACAGTTTCACTTTTTCCTTTGCAGTTTAGATTCTTTTCACTTCTTTTTCTTGTCTGATTGTTGTGGCTAGGACTTCCAACACTATGCTAAATAAAAGTAGTTTGAGTGGGCATCCTTGTCTTGTTCCTGATCTTGGAGGGAATGCTTGAAAGCATTAAAAAAAAAAGCTGAAGCTTCTCACCTTTGAGTATGTTGTTAGCTGCAAATTTATCATATATCACCTTAATTATGTTTTGGTATTTTCCGTTGAAACCCACTTTTTAAGAGTTTTTAATCTTAAATTAGTGTTTAATTTTGTCAGAAGTTTTTTTTTCCTGAATTTATTGAGATGAAATGTGATTTTTATTGTTCCATCTTTCACTGTGGTGTCACATTCATTGATTTGCAGATGTTGAACCATCTTTGTATCCCTGGAATAAATTCCACTTGATCAGTGTATGATCTTTTTAATGTATTTTTGAATTCAGTTTGATAATGTTTTGTTGAGTATTTCTGCATCTATGTTCATCAGTGATATTGGCCTGTAACTTTATCTTTTTTGTGACATCTTTGTCTGATTTTGGTATCAGGGTGATGCTGGCCTTGTAGAAAGAGTTCAGATCCATTCCTTCTCTGCAACTTTTTCAAATAGTTTGAGAAGGATAGGCATTAAGTATTTTTATTTTTAAATGAAGTTATATACATTGTTTCCTTAGACATAATATTATTGGCCACTTAAGAGACTACAGTATAGTGTAAGCGTAACCTTTATATGCACTGGGAAACAAAAAATTCATGTGACTCTTTTTACTGAAATATTCACTTTATTGTGGTGATCTGGAACTAAACTCACACTGTCTCTGAGATATGCCTGTAGTCTTTAGGATTGCAGCAGCACTGATACTGTAGGGGTGTCCCACTTCTGGATACTCATAGCAGTGGAAATAAATCCACTGGAATTGGATATAAGGCCTGCCTTATAGGAGTTGACACCTAAAGGCTGTATGGCAATCATAGTACCATCCTTTCTGTGTACATATTACAGTCCTCAGTTTGCAGCACAAACAAGCTGTAAACAAATTGTGTGTTCTATTTATACAAATAAAATCCTGTGGTATGCTAGAATGAATATAGGCCTAGAGGCCTTAGTTTTTTTATCTGTTGAGTGAAAATGATGATAGTATGTACCTCAAAGTGCTGCTGAAGTGATTCATTTAAATAATGTATATAAATCCCCTAACACAGGCCTTGTTCATAGTAAGTGCCTATTAAATGGCAGATTTTGTCCTTTAGTGGCCTCCAATTCATTGTTCTTCATGTAAGTCATCTCCCCAGAACTCATCCTTGGAATGAAAGTGTTATACTGGGGCTATTTTTAACAGTTTCTTCAAGCCCAGAATTCTGAAGTCCTTTGACAAAGGGAAGAGGAAGAAAGGAGTCAGGATAGAAGGGAGGAAGGGAAAAAGGGAGGGATAGAGAGAGGGAGTGAAGAAGGAGGGAAGGAAAAGGAAAATTTTGCTAACCTGGTTACACTGAATCTCCTACATAAAATAACCTACTATATGTGTTTTCTGTGACTGATATGTACATCTTCTGCTGACTTAAGGAAGTAAACTGAGCTGTAGCTAAATTTATGGGGTTTTTCCCCTGATATCAAATAACAATTGTTCTTCAATTTTTATTCCTTTTCCCTACCACAAACTTTCTTCCTCTGCCAAAAGAATCCTCCCTAAAATCCTGGTCTGTCGCATAAAGCATAGCAATAAATGAGAGAAAAAATACCCAGGACTTGGAGAAAGAAAGGGGTAGAATGAGAGGATGCAGGGGCTCAGGCTAAGGGCAGGGCCATTAGCATAAGTTATGTTCTTTTCAGAGCAGCAGGGTATATATCACTGTCTCTTTCTGCTGGTGACTCTACATGCCTCTGAATCTGTCTGTTCCATTTGTGTATTCATTCAGTAAATGTTTACTGAAGGCCTACTGTGTGCTGGGCTGTGCTAGGAGCAAGGGGGCTAAGTATTGACTAATACATGCGTTTTTGAGTAGACTTCCTCCACAATCATGAGGACCTCTGAGTCTGAGTGTGGTGTGTTTGCATGCGTATGTTTCTGTGTATCTGTCTCAACTTAAGGTGTGCATGACAGCGATTGTTTTTCTTCTGTGAGCTTCAAAGGACTTATTTTCATTTGCTGTGACTCACTTCACAATGAGTGGGCTTTATCTCTGATTTTTATAACCTGCAGGATTGGGGGTATGATTGCTAAAATTTTAAAAAACAATTAAAAATTGTGTGGAGTTCTCCCTTATAGAAGGTTTACCTGTACTCATATTATGAAAAGTAAGCATCTTATTAGCTTGAGTATGATCTTATGCGTGATCACAAAGGTCAAGAGGGGAAACATTGCCTGAGCTCAAGTGTCTGTTATGCCATACTAAAGAAGTGACAATTTTTGTCAATGATCATTTTCTAATGGCCATTCTTGGCTTTTAGTAAAGGTAGAGCAGTTAATTTAAAAAAACAGTGAATAATCATATTAAAGGTGGTATCAGCATGATATGAATTGTTCATCCCTATGAAAAACACCTATGAAAAACAAACAATATAGCATTGAATTAAACCACCCTTGTTTAATAGATTCCTTGTGATCAAATTGTTTGAGCCATTATTTGTCCACTTCTCTCATCTGGTAGGATATATCGTAATGCCTTTTCTGCCTAGAAATACTTTCCAGTGAGACTCTGGAAACACATTAACAAGGCTGTCTACTCTTATATTTGTTCTCCCAGGAAAACAGAAGTACCTGTGTGCCAGCAGAAATGATTGCACCATCGATAAATTCCGAAGGAAAAATTGTCCATCTTGTCGCCTCCGGAAATGCTATGAAGCAGGGATGACTCTGGGAGGTATGATACTTTTCTCCTTCTTTCTTCTTCTCCCTTTCCCTCTCTCATTCTTTCTTTAAACCAAGTTTTCCTCTTTGATGCTTCTAAGGAGGCCTGCCATGCTCTAGATACAGGATGACCCCTTCATATCCAATGTGGCCATCAGCCAGCTGGTGATTTCTTTGTCCTTAACCATGCCACACTGCATTGTGGGGCTCAAAATAGGAGAAGGAGGTGTGAAGCAGGGATCAGGACCCATCAGAGAGTGAGTGAGTGTGGACTTGGCTATGAAGAGTTCCCTAGGGGACATAATAGTACTCACCTTATTTTGTTAAATGATGTCTAGAATGAGGGAACTAAGGAATCCAGAACAGTCACAGGTGCAGGATGACCCAGGCACAAGCTGGCCCTGAACACCCAGGAATATCCCTCAGTTAGCTATCTCCTATACTGTAGGGCTGGCCACCTGGAATGAAAAGCTGATTTTCTTTGGAGCCTATGACTAGGCTGCCAAGCAGAGCCAATTTCCTATCCCATATCTCCAGGGATGAGCAGGCCTTTTAATCATGTCCTTTTCTTTGTAAATCTATTGACCATTTCCAAAAGCATTTAGTTCAGTAACAGAGTAGATTGACAAAATGAAAATACAGCTCTTTTATGGGCAATCTCCCATCATAATGCTCTCTGTCCTCTAGTCTGGGTCTACCATGAGTGTTGTCACCATTACAGAAAAGGTTTGGCTGACACTTACATTTTCCCCCTTCAAATTCCTCATTTCTTCATGTTTACATCTACTCAGTGCCAGAGTCCTCCCTACTGCCTGATGCTTCCAAAAAGATTCACTTTTCATGAGAAAAGCAAGCTCATTAATCTACTTTGATTTGGAAATGGAACTTGAAGAAAGGCAAGCTGTTTCTGAATGCCTGAAACTGTAGCCTCGTACCTGATTACTTATTATTATCCTGGAAAACCCAAGTGCCTAGAATCCTGCCCTCTCCCATCCCCCTCTCAAGGCTAATTTAGAACACTTGTTATCTTTGTCTTTCTGCAAGGTACTCAATACCTTGTCTGCCTATATGCATATTTACAGAAATCAATTTGTTTTCTAACCACGTTTGGGTCTCCATGTGAATAACTGTATCCTCCCTTCCTTACAGGCCAGTGATAGTCTTTAAACAGACCAAAGTACAAGTGAATTGACCTAGGCTTAATTTGAGACAGTTTTGAAAGAAGTATCTCAAGTAGTATCCAGTACTACTAGATATCATAGGCTCTGTGAGTGGTTTTCCAGGCAGCCACTTCAAATTAAATTCAAATGTCTCAGAAAAAACAATTTTGTTCCTTGCTTGGCTTACTCCAGAGGAATTCTACAATTATGGTCTACAGTGCTGAGGAAGAAACAGGACTAGGAGTGAAGTGGGAGTGCAGAAGGAAAGCCAGGAAAGGTGGCAAAGTCATTGACAAGATGAAGTTTTCTCCATATGAATGTTGTCACAACATTCATGGGGGTGGGGAGGGATCATCCCATGGTGAGGGTTCTGATACACTCAACTCTCAATTATTTAGCCCTCTGTGAATTGTGTATAAGAGATGGGGGCTCCCAAGTAGAGAACCTCTTGGCTTTCCATCTGCTGATAATGAACTGCAAGCACACTTTGACACAAATAACTTTTAATGGTAACAAAAGTCCTCATAATATTTGGGTCCAAATCCTAAAGTTAGTTTCATGTATCTGGCTTTACTTGGCATACCTTGTAATATGTAATAGCTCCAACAGGCAGAACATCACCAGAAATCACTCTTTATCATCTCAAACCAAAAGTACCATTAAGATCCTGTTTGGAAGGCGATTAAAAGGAATCATATGTTCAAGTAACATGTTGGTAGAAACCCAAGTGTTTACTCTCTTAGACATCATTATTTGAAAAATAAACCTTTCCATTTTGTTAAACGCATCTCCACATTCCCTGCTTACCTGCTGCAAACCCTTCCCAAGTTTATTGTTAACTTACATATTCAGTGTCCACTAACTATTCCTTTACTCAAACAAACAATGCAAAAAGAAAACAAGCATTGATAGAGTGAATATATTATTGATGTGCTTCTGAATACATTAGTAATAGAATTCCTTTTTCATAAGATCTGAGTTTAGCATAAACATTCTGATCACTGTGAAAGAGAAGTAATATAATTTTGTTTTATTTCTCCTAACACTCAGTTCAAGCTTGTATAATATATTCCAAAATGGCAACTAGAAATCTGGCCTTGGGCAAGTCCTTTCTCCCCTCTGAGGCAGTTTTACCATGACAAAAATGTGGTAGTAGGCTTCACCAAAGACTTTTTTGGCACTACAATTTTGTGATTCTATATCTAAGGTCACAGAGAAAGGATTGTAGATGTATCAGTCCTTTTTTTGATTGTCTATCCACTGTTCTAGAAGCATAGATAGTCTAAACTTGAGTGCTTTGACTTGCAGAGTAATTTTTGCTACCTCAGGTCACACATAAATAAGATATATCATGTGTCTAAAAGCAGACTGTATGGATAGATTATTGACAGAGTGGAGGGCTGTCTTTGTATCTTAGAGAAGCTGGCACTCTGCAGCTGATGACTGCTTGATCTTGATGCCTCAAGATCTCTAATCTGGCTTTCTCTCCAGTGTTCCATCTACTGTTTGGTGATGGAATCTCCTCAACTCAAAGATACTTAAAACACATACCCTTTTCCTTTCTGCTTCTAGGCCTATCTTCCTGTTGATTCCTCTTTTCTTAGCAGCTCTTGGTGCTTCTGAAAGGATTCTGGAGGTGGTTGTATTCTCAGAGTGCTTCCCTGAAAGACTACCTCCAGGCTCTCAACTACCATTCTACAACAAGGATAAGCCTTTCTTTGAGCATGGTTCATTTCTGGCTGCTTTTGCAAAACCACGTATTGCTAATTGCTTCAATCATCTAACTTCTTTGCCTACTTTTCATTAAAGTTATAAATATAACTGTCCAGAGAAGCACCTTCTCTCGGGTGAATTAACTGCTACTTTTTCACAGCCCATAATTAGAATTAATATACAACCAGTCTCACTTTGCTCTGCACCTCCGAAGGATATACTCCCAGTTTCCAAGATGGAATGAGAAAGAATTACCTTACCTTATTATCTTCTTCCCTGACCCTTCCTTCCTTCTCATTTTCTCTCCTATTCCTGCCTGATCATTATTTCTTTTTGTGTTATGTAACTCTTTGTGTTCTCAGCTTTTAATAAATGACATTGGTCTTGGCTTACACCCTCCTTTCCTGAACCATGGAAGATGGTAGGCCTTTCAGGAATTTCAGGTAGCAGCCAAACCCCAGAAGAGGAGAAGAAACATGGAGCCCCAGAGCATATGAGAATCTGAAGTGTGCAGCATTTTTTCAGGGGTTACTCTAGCATATTTGAGAAGTCTCTTTCCTACTAGGAGACTGAACTCCACATCTGAGACTCAAAACTATTAACAGAGATGCAGGTTTTAATTTTTTTTAAAAGAGATACAGGTTTTTAACAACCTCCATGATTCTCTAGAGGATGGCTCAGGGAGCCCTGGCCATGAGCTGATATTGCCATGGACACTATGAACATCTTTGTTGTTTCCAGTGTTGAAGGCAGCCTTGATGCCATCTCTTTCATCATTCTCCATGCTCAAGAGCAGCCCAGCATTGCTACTTCTGCATCACATGCCCTGGATGCGAAAGAGTGATTCCAATGCTGACACATCATTCATGGCATGGTTCTTCAGGATACAAGTTTCACAACATTTATTCATGCATCTATCTATCCATTCGTCCTTCCAGCAAGCCAGTTAGCTAAACCTTCCATCTTTCCACCCATTCGCTCATCTATTTATCCATTTAGCAAATATTCATTGAGTGCCAACTATGTGCCAGACACCGTGGTAGGCATTTAGGGAGAACATATATGGGTAAAATATAATCTTTTTCCTCAAAAAGTTAAACAAGGGGAGAAATACAGTGATAATTAATACACCTTAACCTTAAAGGATAAATAGGGAATGACTGGAAAGAAGTTGAGTTGAAAGGACATTCAAGGTGAAGGGCACATTTTGAATAAAGGCACAGAGACTTCAAAAAAAAGCATTGAGGTTTTGAGGAATAGCAAGTAGTTTAATATGGCCAGATCTGGGGAAATGGAGAAGGCAAGCTGAAAAGAAACCACATTGAAAATGTACTTGGTTATTATGCTAAAAGCCATTTGAAGAGCTATGGCACAATAGAAACATGTTCACATATCATTTGAGATCTTTTTCACATGTTTTTTTTTTTAGTAGAATTAGTGGCAGCATGAATGTTGTATAGTTGATGGCTTGAATTTTATAGAAGAGATAGTAGACCAGGTAGAAAGAGAGAGAAATTTCTAACATCAAATTTTGTTAAGCATCTCGGATTACAACCTTGGTTCCTGGAGTTAGTTGCCTCTGTTTGGGTTGATACCTGCAAATACTGACCATGTGCATAGTCTTTCCTTTATACAAGTCTGTTGCCTTGATCTAGGCCAGTGTTTCTTAGTGTGGGTTCTGAGAAAAATAGTTTTGTGGCATGGGTCCATGAAAAAATGATTTTTATGGTCAAATAAGTTAGGCAGACCTGCAAATTATGGACTTACTCAGGAAGATTTACAGTGCATATTAGCATATCACAGACCTTGGCAAGTATTGCAGTGAAGTAACCTGAGGAGCTTGGTAACTCAGGATTCCCAAATTTAATTCAAACAAACAAACCTTTTTTCATATAGTATCTGTTCATATCCTACAAAACCACTGTTTCCTGGAATATGCTTTGGAAAACTTCGTTATAAATAAATACTCCGTCTAACAGGCAGACAGTACCCCTAGCCCAGGTCATCCATTTTATAGATGTGTCTATCTACATGTATATTGCTTACCAGGAGAATCAGTCAGGAATGACTTCATGACCAAGAGCAGACCATCCTCACCACATCTCAAGAGTATGCCCCAGAGGCTACTAAAACCACTAAA